ATCGCCCCAGATGAGGCTAATAATTAACATAGGCATATGTTTCATGGTTTTGGTCATGGCAACACAAGTGAATAGTTTTGTGGGCATCACATGGGGAAGGCAACAAACACAACAATTGGTTCCATCTATGGTTGTTGATTTGCTTTTACAAAATAAAATTTCACAATTGAGATTAATGACTTCAGGATATGATATTATTGAAATATTTTCAGCCACTAATATTAGTGTTAGTGTTACTATGGGAAATTCATTTATGTATCAAGCAAATAGGAAAGACCTTGCATATAATTGGGTAAATGATAGAATCAAGGATCCAATCAACAAAGGTGCAAATATAGTGTAAGTAATTTATCATTATTATTATTTGAATTATATAATTCTACTACTAAAATGGATTTATCTGAAATTGACTTGTCGAAAATGTTTTTGACATATGTGTCCTTTTTATTTCTTCAGGGAACTAACGGTTGGGTCTGAACCATTTTCTAATACATTCTTGAAAAAAGCGACGAACTACAATGTGGTGTCCGTGTTAAAACTCATGCGAGAAAGTCTCGATGAGATGGGTTTAGGGTACGTTAGAACAACGACCGCACATGGCATGGATGTATTGAATCATACAAAATTTCCATCGGAGGCAGACTTTCGCGATGACATAAAAGTACAAATGATCGAATCACTAGCGGAGTTCAATCGGACCGGAGCTCCCTTTCTTCTTATCTTGTTCCCAATCCATTTCGTTAAAGACGTAATGAATTACACCATCGAGTTTGCGTTCTTTGATAATAATAGCGGGTTCAAAATTGAAGATGGTAACATTACGTACACAAACGCTGTGGAGTTAATGATCGATTCCGTTGCGTGGGCTATAAAAAAAGCAGGATATGACAATATGAAAATTATGATTGCTCAAATTGGATGGCCAACGGATGGATATCCACATGCAAATATTAAAAATGCAGAGAGATTTCACAAGGGGTTATTGAAATTTATAACATCAAAAAAAGGGACACCAATGAAGCCAGGGCCACTTGACATATATCTTCACAGCTTGTGTGATGAGAATCAATTTCACAAGGTATTTGGTACATTTCAAAGACATTGGGGTATTTACGAGGCAGATGGCAATCCAAAGTACAAGATTGATTTCTCATTACAGGTAATGATGTCAAATGATCGATTTGAACTGAATTACAATAACAATAATAGTGTATATGAAAAATGGTCATTGTGACAAAATTTCAAATATAACAAGTTAAACGCCATGACTTCAATTATACGAGTGAAAAGGTGACTTAGTGAATGTTACCCAAATTTGAGTTAGTCAAAATGCAGGAAATTACACTCAATAACATTTAAAGATGACTGATCTTAAACTTTTGATCCCAACTTGACATGTGGATAAATCTTCAAGGTCAAGAGTGAAAAAAATAATCATGCTTGAAGTTTTTTCCATGAGGTAAGCGGGATCAAAAGTGTCAGTTTAGTAAATCAATGGTCAAAATGAATTGTACAATAAATGAATTATTGTTCAACCCTATCCAAATGTTACTTGGTTGAGATAGGTTAGACAATGAGTCATAACCCATTCCCAAACCCTTACCAAAACTTTTTTTTTGTTTTTTTTTTTATAAACTAATAATAGAAAATTCTTTTTCGTTATATCTATGTATAAAATATCGAACAAAAACTATTTTTATTAGAAGATTTTAACAAGGTTTCATTAGTTAATTTGGTCACATAATTAGCCTAAATTAGTCCAACTTTTTGATAGACTACACTTAGACAAGTCAAGTTATATTTTCATGAGTTGATTTTATCATCTCTAATTACAGGGTCGCAACGAGTTACCTACACAAGCTAAGGGCATTGTGAAAATGCCAAATCGATGGTGCAAGTTCAATGGGGACACATCAAACGTGGAGTTGGTGAATAAGAATTATGATTTAGCATGCCAAGTTTCAGATTGTTCACAATTGGAAAAAGGAGCTTCATGTGATGGACTAAGTTTTGCTTCCAAAGTTTCATATGCTATGAATGCATTTTTTCAAAAGAACAAACAAGAAGTAAAAGCTTGTGATTTTGATGGTTTAGGCCAAGTTGTAGCAACAAATCCCTCTGAGACAAATTGTGAGTTTCCCATTGAGATATTGTCATTCCAAGATCAAAGGGTTCAAAATGGTATGATTTTAAGGATTTGAAGAACAAAAAATGGAAATGAAGTTGTATTTCATTGTGAGTTTAAGTAATATACATTGTCAATGTTTGACAGATCATATCTTTTTTTTTCTATTATGACCTGAAACGAATCTTATTTTTAAAATTTAAAATTTCACAAAAATTTAAAAAAGTTTACATATATCATTTGGGTGATCTGATGATGTAGAAATTATATACCATACAAAAGTTAAACTCCATATGTCATTTAAAAGGCTGAATTGGGCAACAATATCCCCAAAAAAAGTCATATAATCCCTATGTTCATCTTTACTTGCCCACTAGACTAAAAATGGGTGAATAACAATATTTTATTTGTTCAGTTTGAAAAATCAAGAGATAATTGACCCCTTTTGTCTATTTTACCCTTACAATTAAATACTATTCAATATCTAATACATTTCCCTAAGCATTAAATTTATTATATTCGAAGGGTAATATAGTAATCTTACCCAATTATTTATTGTTCTTAAGGTATGTATCAAGTCAATAATAGATAATTATTATTGAATAGAGAGAATAAGACGGATGAAAATTATCACTAAATGCTTAAACATCGCGGTGAAAATAAAAAGAGTATTAAATAGAATATGGATGGAATAGTCAAAAAAAAAAATATGACTGATAAATGTTGTGCAGGAGTCCTTTAGAAAATTTAGAAAATGTCACACGACACATTAATTTTTATCAAGTGCAACGTGAACATAGATGACAAATAATTTCCCATCTTTCAACAAAATGAATAACGATCAATATTCAAATAATGATTACTTTATTTTCATTAATAAGATTAATTTAGTAAAATCAATACATCCGAGTAAAACAAAAAGTAAAAGAGTTGGGCACATGAACAGAGCTTATGGCTATGTTTCACACCCTTTAAGAAGCATCAAATAAAATGATAATTTTATCATATCACCTTCATTTATTCTAAGTCATCTAAATATTGAAAAATGAATAGTATACAATATAGGGATAAAATAGGTAAAATTAAAAATAATAAATTATCACTTAATTTTCTAAAATGGTCATCTTTTTTATAATATAGCGAAAAAGTAAAAATAAACGAAAAATTAATTTAAAGCATCTATTTTTAATAAAGAAGCCAAATAAAATAAAACTGAATAAATATTTAAGAGGAGCTTCTAGTCAAGGCTCTATACACCCCAAAAGAAAGTTTTGGGCACCTTATAAATATAAGATATATCTTTTATATATACTCTTTATTACTTAATTATGGTAAGCAATATATAATTATATTTTATGTAAAATCATGTTGGTGTAATTTATCACAAATATAATAAATTACAATTGAAAAATAAAATAATAAAAAATGAATAAATAGATCATTTAGGATGAGGCGCGGATATCTCGCTCTCTTTAAGGAGATTCAAGTTCCCTACGGCATAATCTACACCGATCCAATTTGCAACAATGATACTCTTGACTTGTCCCCGTCGGTATACAACAACCCAACAACGTCGTACAACTCAAGCAACTTTGGATTTAGTTGAAGAGTCCAAAGCTCCACATACGAACAAACACCTTCCTTCAACATATAAATATTCTCTTTTATTTAGTGAATACAGTTGAAGACTTGAAATTTTTTTGTCTCAACTCTCTCTTTCAGTATTACATACTACAATATATTATTTCACACTTCTTATCTTTCTTTCATTCCTTCACAAAGGAAGAAACACCGATATTTATAGGTGAAAAAGCGCACTTCCATGTAATCAACGGGTAGAATGAGGGGTACATAATAATGTGGGTAGATAAATGTGATAGATGTTATAATATAAGTTATAAGAAAATAATTGTCATATGAGTTACAAGAAATTAATGACCATTGGAGTTAGAAGAACTAATGATCATATAAGTTACAAGAACTAATCCTCATCTTTTACCACAATTTGTACTCACTGTCATATGCACTTAATATTTTAGTTTTTTAATAAAATGCATATACACCAACATATTATATTTATTTAAGGTTAATTGTATTGATGTTAGCTCCATCAACTTATAACCTTAGATGCAAGCCCATAATAAACGGACATAAGTAGCCAATCATAAACGTTATTTGTTTTTTTTTCTTACTTTTTCTATGAAAAACTCATCCTTAAAAAGAGAAAAACTTTATAATAGCTACCTTTTAATCCCCCCATACTTAACCTCTTTTATCCATGTAGAAGTAAGTAACCTTCTTCTGGGATTTTCAAATATAATTTGGAGAGACCGTAGAATTGAATATCATTTTGTGTACTATCAATGGCAGAGTTATATGATGATCCAAAGGCATCCAATTAAATCTTCTATCAGAAAATCATGTTGCACAAATAAGGTAAATATATGATTGAATCTTATTTAAAAACCAAAAACAAAAATCTTTGACGTGATAACCAAGGTGATTCAAGAATTGCTTTATGTCGCAGGTCTCAATATTCCTTGTGAATTTTTTATTCTGAATCTTCTTGGTAAAAAGTTTTTGGTACCCGCTTCTAGGGACAAAAAAGCAAGAAGAGGTTGTGTACCATCATCAATGCAGAGTTACATTACCCAAAGAGATTTAATTGAATCTTTTGTCAAAAAATTAATCGCGCAAATTAAGCAAGGTAAATATAGTTTTTTTTATCTATACAAATTGTTAATTCTCTTGAAAAAGGAAAACTTTACTAACGATAGAAGTGACTCAAGAATTGCTATATGTCACAGGTCTGAACGCTACTTGTAACATTTTTTTTCCCCAAATCTTCTTATTAAAATTTCTGACATCACGCAAGATGAGGCTAATTACCATGGGCATAATGATCATGGTTTTATTCATGACAAGAAGTGTAAATAGCTTTGTGGGCATCACATGGGGCAGACAACAATCACAACAATTAGTTCCATCAATGGTTGTTGATTTGCTTTTACAAAACAAGATTCCAGCATTGAGATTAATGACTTCAGCCTCTGATATTGTTCAAATTTTTTCTGCCACTAACATTAGCATTGTTATTACTCTTACAAATAGAAATGTAAATCTTATAAATAGGAAAGATCTTGCCTATGCATGGATAAATGATAAAGTCAAGCTACCTATCAACAAAGGTGTCAACATAGTGTATGTAATGCATTCCTTTTCTTTCTATTTTTTTTTTACATTAATTTTATTTTATAGCCTGTTTGTTCAAGTTTTTAAGGGAAGCACAACGTTGAATATAGTCGTAGAAGTTGAAAAAATAGTTTTTCCCAAAAAGCATTTTTGGAACAACGACCAAACACAACTTGTTGTTCTCATGTTGACAAGTAAGGTACTTTTTCAAATTGATGAGTCAAACGTACTAGTCTGTTTGGTCAAGTTTAATTTTTATAAATCAAAAGTATTTATTTTTCTTTGAAAGTGCTTGTTTTAGAAAGCTAATTTCCAAAAAAATAGGTAGAAACTGTAGTTTTTCCTAATGAGAACTTTTGAAACCTTAACCAGGCCCAAATTACTGTACTAACATTGGTAAAAATGCTTTTGAATTTTACTAGTTATGTACAAACAACTACATACCCTCCAAAAATACTTTTTGGTAACTTTGGCTAAATATGCTAGCAAACGGGTAATTAAGAAGCAGATTTTGAAAGCCTGATCAAATAGCTGGGTGATGTTAATCTTTAAAACTTTGTGATGATTTTATTATTTAATTTTCTCTGATTAATTTCTTTAGGGAACTATGTATTGGGGCTGAGCCATTTTCAAATACATTCTTGAAAGATGCAACGAACTATCAAGTGGTGAATGTGATATCAATCGTACGAGAAGCTCTAGACGAGATGAACTTAGGGTATGTCTCAACAACGACCGCTCATGGCATGGATGTCATAACTATCGCGAAAGTCCCATCAAAATCAGACTTTCGCGATGACATAAAAGGATTGATGCTCGAATCACTAAAGTTCTTCAACCGAACAGGCACACCTTTTCTATTGAACATGTTCCCTATCCAAATGGTTAAGGATGTACTTAATTACCCCATAGAATTCACATTTTTCGATAACATGAGCAATTTCAAGATTCAAGATGGTAATGTCACGTACACAAATGCAGTGGAGTTAATGATAGATTCCATTGTGTGGGCAATAAAGAAAGCGGGATATCCTGATATGAAAATTATGATTGGTCAAATTGGATGGCCTACCGATGGATATCCATATGCAAATCTTAAAAATGCAGAGAGATTTCATAAGGGGTTATTGAAATTTATAGCATCAAATAAAGGGACACCACTTAGGCCAGGGCCAATAGACACATATCTTCATAGCTTGTCAGATGAGACTGAGTTTCCAACAAAATTTGGTGCATTTCAAAGACATTGGGGCATTTATGAGGCAGATGGAAATCCAAAGTACAAGATTGATTTCTCATTACAGGTACACATGTCAAATGAGCGATTTAGATTTAATTTGAATTAATAAACGAATTGCTCACCTCTAGCCAAAAGAGTTTAACTAAATTCACAAACACACTTTTCATCCTCTTAATTGAAAAAGTTTCAAATTTCACGTATTTGACATGACTCTAGGATGTTAACTACAAGAAAAGTGTGAATTACATGGGGATTTTTTTCAGGATTAGTATGAATTCACACTTTTCTTATAGTTGTTGCAGAGTTTCACCAGTGAAATTTGAAAATTCAATACGACAATGGCTACTTTTCTAATTACAACATTGAAAAGTGGTTGATGGGTATATATATATCTACCAACATAAAGTTAGTTGGGCTACGATGAACTAGGTCAAATAGACTAAACATGACTTATAACTTAACCTTGCCCAACTCAGGTCAAATTTTAATTTTTGTTTCCTTCATAACAAAAAAAACAATTTTGACAAAGTTTCTCATGGATTTGTTTGGGCAACATACTTGCCCTACATCATCTCAATTTTTAGGTGAGTTGAATTTTGAACATGTTAAGACAAGCTGAGTTAATAAATGAACTGATGATTTACTTGCCTAAACACGAATTGAGCAAACTCGTATTCTTATGAACTAATTTTGTCACCTCTAATTATAGGACCGAGACGAATATCCCACTCAAGCTAAGGGCATTGTGACAATGCCAAATCGATGGTGCATGTTCGATGGGGACAAAAGTAACATGGATTTGGCGAAGAAGAATTACAACATTGCATGTGAAGAAGCAGATTGTACAAAATTGGAACAAGGAGCTTCATGTGGTGTACTAAGTGATGAATCTAAAATTTCTTATGCTTTTAATGCATACTTCCAAAAGAATAAGCAAAGTGAAGAATATTGTAATTTTAATGGCTTAGGTAAAATTACAACAATAAATCCTTCTGTAGAAAAATGTGTGTTTCCTATTGAGATATTGTCATTCCAAGATCAAGTGGCTGGTAATGCTATGATATCATTAAAAATTTGACTTTAGTAGTATCATGTGGAACATTCTAGAAAAAAAAAATGGTATCGATTCGAATTAGTTTTTTTGTTTTAAAAAAAATATGTTTGAGTAGTTTTGATTCTTTAAATTTGTCAGAAAAGAACGTTTTTGGTTTTTTGTTAAAAAAAAACAAAAACAAATATCGTAACAAATTTCTATCGGTTAGATTTGAAAGAAACTGTGAAAAAAAATTTAACTTAAAATACCAAGATCACAAAAGTGAAGGAATGAACTAATTGAGACAAATGTTCTAATTTCAATAAAACATTTCACCTTATGATAACCTAGAATGATGGGGGTATTGAAGGTTAATGAGAAAGTGTATTAACATTAATTGAAATGTTAGAGAGAAAATACTTTAATAATTGAAAATTGAAGAAAAAGTGTTTCAACAAATTCAAAGTTGGTGACAAGTATATCTATCAACGGAAGTTTAATTTTTTACCAAGAAAAGAAATGTATGTAATAAGTTGTGTATGTTACGTTCAACTGCACGGATTATTAGTTTCATCTCAAAAATAAACTTAGCGATGTTAAACAGGGTTTCTAAGTTGGGTTCAATGTTTGAGTTTGTCTAGATTTTCAGCTATATTCTCCAATCAATGGTCTTCCTCTCGATGATACGATTGATGAAATTTTATTATAAAGAGTTTTTCAATTGAAATGATAGTATGATCGTTGCTATGTATTGAATTATGATATTTCAAATAATCTTTTTTTAATTCTCTAATCAAAAGAAAATTACTCTTTATATTTGATCTGAAAACAAAAAAGGATAAAAAGCTTCATACATTCATAACGATTAATGTTAGTCAAGAGAAGCAAGAATTATAATCTGATGCAAACACAATCCAAACAAATTTTGGAGGAGTTATAAACCAGAAATTAAGTAGCATGGAGAAATAATTTGGACCTCAAATAAAGCTTTTAATTTCCCTAAGCTTGGAGGAAGAAAAAGGGGTACAAATATGTATATTGGTGTCTTATATCACTTTTGGGATGACCTAGCGTGGATCGGATGCCAATATGGTTACCTTGTCACTATACTTTTCCCGTATTAAATTGAAATTAACATCGAACCAATTGAATAGGAGAAAAGTACTTTAGCTAGGTAACCATGTCATCCAGTACTATTCGCCCCAGAAGTGAGATAAGACATCAATACATACTTGAATTCAGTGATCACTTCCTTCAATTCTTCATGCATTTGGAAAGAATATTCATTTATACTAGTAGATGTGTTTCTTTTGGTGCCTCTAGTCTTTATAAATTACTTAACTTAAGGTCTGTAGGTCTTTTTCTATTTATAATGTGTGGTAAAAGTGTAGTGAAAAGGAAAGTTGACTACACTTTTATCATGTTGTGAAAAGGAAAGTTGAAAGTTGACTACACTTTTACCATGTAGTGAAAAGGAAAGTTCTAGAAGGTGGAATGTGAGGATATATAAGAACAATGACATGGTGAAATATTTTTTAGTGAGGTGGAAAGAAAATATAAAAATATTATTCCTACAAAGTAAAAATAGCAATATTAAGATATTTATTTATTTAAACACTATATTTAGAATTTAAATTAAGCTAAAATTGATAAACCATATATTTTTTTGGAAATTCTCCTTTTTTTTTAAAAAAAAAAAGAAACTAATATGTTCAAATGTGATTTTTTTTGTTATTTCTCATAATTTTCTGAAAGATTGAATTATTCTAAAATTTATAGATAGTCAAAAAATGAACTACACAGTATAACAAAATTATATTATTTTTAGAAAAACAATTATATAACTTAACATAAATATAATAATTTACATATTTAATTATTAGGAGATTTGAAAATCTCATAATTTGATTGTTTACATTCAAGAAAAAGAAATATTATAAATGAATTGCTCAATTTATATAAGATAAATTTTATTGCCTTAAATATTAGTATTTGCTACATATATAGTAGTTTAAAGAAGAAAAAACAAGAATAAGAAAAGTTCTAATTGACTTCAAATCCTATATATTAGGGGAAAAAATTGATATTATATTTCTATATATTAGGAAAATAATTAAATTTAGATTGTCTCTGAAATCTATTTTAAAATGGTAAAAAAGTGAATGATATTTCGCTAAAGAATTTCATTTTTAATATACTGTTAGAATTTTAGTCTCTTTATAAAACTTTCAACTGTGACCTACATATTGGATAATTATTAAAGTACCTTATTTTCCAATTAATTAAGTAAAAAATCAGATAATATTTGACCTATCTTGAAGTTTTTGTGATACAAGAAAATATTTTATTAGCAGTCCTTAGGGTATTCATATTTTATGGAAATATCCCTAGGGTTAAAAAAAACTTATAAGAATCCCTAGCCTACCTTTTTGTTAGAAAACAATAGAGTTCTTTTTTTATCCAGAGTTACAAGTTGGTGCTAGATCAAATAAAGTGATTGATCTCAACGACACTTGAACAATTATTATTGGAACCAGGTATATTCTAATTTAATATTTCGATATGTTTTTTTGATATAAGAATTTGATAAAATAGTTTTCTGATTATTTTTTTCAAGATTTTTAAAGGGTTAGACATGGGTGTTCACACATAATAGAAAAATCCTTTAAAGATTGAGATAAACAAATAGGGAATCAACGTACGCAATAGCGATTCGATCGCAATACGAGCAAATAATTACTCTGCCATTTTCTTGCTCCTATATAGCTACATCACCTTTGTATGTTTTGCCTCCCAAAATCATGTGGATAACATAAATTAGTGTTAATATTTAAGCATATTTAGGTTCTTCTTAATAGCAAAATGTGGATGACAACCTAGAATTGCCTATGTATAACACCTAGATATGCAAAAGGGGTTGTTTATGTTTGCCACATAATTTTGGAAGGCAGATTTTGCGAAGGTAATGTAGCCAAAAAATGGTAGAGCAATTAGTTGTTTTCACCGTGATTGAATCACTATTAAATATGTCGATTTTTTATTTTTCTATCTCAATCTTTAAAAATGTATTCTATTATTTTATACAAATACCTCTATCTAATTCCTTAAAAATCTTGAGAAAATTAATAGAGAAATTCTTTTCCAAGTTCTTATATATGTTGATAAGTATCATCTTAGTCTCCAACCTAGAAAAAATATTGGATCTATTGAGAATAGGCAAAAAAACTTAAGCATACAAATTAAGTACCTTAATTACTACTATGTAGTAATTATTATTTTTTTGCCTATATAACAATTGTTTTTTTTTTTCAAAAATAGGATTTTATATTAAATTATTTTTTAAAAAAGTAGTGTAGAAATAGTTGGCCACGATTTTCTCATATTTCCTGATTTTCTCCAATTCTTTTACCTTCCACGATTTACTCAAATTGGTTATATATTCTCTCACATCAAAAAAGGTTTTTTAACAAAAATAAAACTATCTTTTTACTGATTCTGATCGACTGTTCGATCATTGATACCAACAATTTTTCAATTCTAATTCAACACAACGAACGATAGGATGCATCAGGTATTTGTGATAAATCACAATTGAATTGATATTTTTTGCGTTCTTATTTTAATTATAGATCGTTATATTGTAATCTATTATGTTGGGTATATGTTTTTGCGTTACCGTATGAATTAAGGTCGTTTAAAAATCACTTTTTATATTGAATTTGAATATATTGAGTGCAATTGATATCTTTATATAATTGATTAGTGCACTATCTTTTCGGTCGTATATTTAAACACCAACTTTCATGCTAATAGGTAATATTCTGAATTTGGTTGTTTATAGATAACAAAATTGGTTCTGATTTGTGATTGTATGTTTCATATATAGAAAAAAAAAATTAAAAAACTAATTTAGGTCGTCAACCATCATTTGGTTTAATTTGTAGGGTTTTCTGGATTACTATAAAAACCATATTCCGTGTAATTTTGGTTTGATAAATTGAGTTGGTGAAAATGATGATTTTTTTAAACAACAAGTTTCATTAAATTTTTTTGGTAGATTAATGTGTGTAATTGATAGCATACATGATGTAGATTGTCTATTTTATTTCGTTTATTAAACACCATAATTTGAGATTTTTGATATAATATTAGGTGTAATTGATTAGTGCACTCGAATATCTTTTCGGCCGTGTATAAACATCATAATTCGAGATTTTCTGTTAATGTGTAATTGGTATCTTTTATGCCGTATCTAAACACCAACTTTCATGCTTATATTAGGTACATGTATTGTTATAGGTAATAGCTTGAATTTGGTTGTTTATAGCTAGATAACAAAATTGGTTCTTATTGATTTGTGATGATATATATTTCATACCAAAAAAAGAAAAAAACACAACTAGAAACTGATTTATATATATATATATAACGACATTCTACATATCAATTTGTGTAATTTAAATATAGTGGAAACACATTTTTGTTTATCTATGTTTTGCTTAATTTGTTATATATTTTAATTTGTATTATGTTATATATCTAGAAATGCAATTTTGATTTCTTTTCAAAGTATCCCTTATGTATAACATGTGGGGATAGAGCTAAGGAAGCCATTGAGTACCAGAATGGTGTCCAATCAACAAGGCAAGAAGTTTTGAGATCCAACACACTATGTTTGACTGGTATGAATCCTATTTTGGATGATTTTATTAACAATATATCCACTCAATTCCGTATACTTCAAAAATTAATTATTTTGTTATTTTTGTAATTTAAAAACTAGGATATATTGTTAATAAAATCATTAAAAATAGGATCCATATCAGTCAAACATAGTGTGTTGGATCTCAAAATTTCTTGCCTTGTTGATTGGACATCATTTTGATACTCAATGACTTCCATAGCTCTATCCACACATGTTACACATAAGGGATACTTCGAAAAGAAATCAAAATTGCATTTTTTTAGATCTAAATAAACTCGGACACCCATATTATTATGAATCTTCATTGGCGGAGATGGACCACTCACGACATATTTGAGTTCTAAATGAAGTCGTGTCCACACCCAATTGGGAAGATATAGTAGTAATTAAGCCTTTGTATTTGGTGTTTGCATCATACATCACCCCTCCAATAATGTAATCCACATACTTACATGTGTTAGATTACAAATTATTAATCAATTTTCAAAATATTAAATAAGTACTAGATATATAACATAATACAAATTAAAATATATAACAAATCAAGCAAAACACAGATAAACAGAAGTGTGTTTCCACTCTAATTAAATTACACAGATTGATATATAGAATGTCGTTATATATAAAAAATGATAATCATATTGGTATACAAAATGGTTGACGACCTAAATCAGTTTCTATTTGTGTTTTTTTTTGGTATGAAATATATCATCACAAATCAATAGAAGCAATTTTGTTATAAACAACCAAATTCAATCTATTACCTACAACAATACATGTACCCAAATATTAGCATGAAAGTTGGTGTTTAGATACGGCATAAAATATACCAATTACACACCAAAAGAAAATCTCGAATTATGATGCTTATATACGAACGAAAAGATATTCAAGTGCACTAATCAATTAAACCTAATATTATACCAAAAAAGCTCGAATTACGGTGTTTAATAAACAAAATAAAATAGACAATCTACACCACATATACTATCAATTACACACATTAATCTACCAAAAAAAATTAATGAAATTTACTATTTAAAAAACCCATCATTTTCACCAACTCATTTACCAAACCAGTATTACACGAAATATGATTTTATACTAATCAAGAAAACCCTACAAATTAAACCAAATGATGGTTGACAACCTAAATTAGTTTTCTAATTGTGTTTTTTTTGTATGAAATATACCATCACAAATCAATAAGAACCAACCTTGTTATCTATAAATAACCAAATTCAGAATATTACCTACACAATACATGTACCAAATATTAGCATGAAAGTTGGTGTTTAGATATATGGATGAAAAGATATTTAAGCAGAGGCGTATCTAAAGGGGGGTCACCGGGTTCACGTGAATCCATGGTCTCCTCCCGAAATCATATATAGTAGTGTTATAATTTTAAGAAAACATTGAAATATAGATGCGTGAACCCACACTTCAAGTATCACATAATGCGATTATGACTGGCTGCACCTCTCTCCGCGAGGTTAGAAAGTTGAATTTTATATTTATCTTGTTTTATTTTTCTTTCTAAAATTAGATAACAGTTCTCTAAGTGGTAATTGGTATATAAGAATTAATTTTAGACCTATTATTTTTAAAATTTTAACGATTTTTAGTAGTAAAAACCTAAATGTCGAACCGATCAAATTTATATCATAGATCAACCTTTATATAACAGTGCACCCATCATCTCAAAATCCTGGATACGCCTCTGTATTCAAGTGCACTAATCAATTATATAAAGATATTCAAGCGCTCTCAATATATCTAAATTCAATCTATAAAGTAAATTTTAAACGACCTTAATTCATATTGTAACACAAAAAAATATATCCAACATAATAGATTACAATATAACGATCATGAAAAAAAAACTCAAATATATCAAATAAAATAATTAAAATAATCACGCAAAAAAACACCAATTCAATTGTAATTTATCACAAATACGACGAGAGTAATTTGCTCGGATGGTAAGCATCCCTCACTTCCAACCTGGAGGTTGCGAGTTCGAGTCACCAAGGGAGCAAAAGAGGCGGGAGCTCCTAGGGAGGGTAAAAAATTTTTTATCACAAATACTTGATGCGTCCCGTCGTCCGTTGTGTTGAATTAGAATTGAAAAATTGTTATCCATGATCGAACAGTCGTTCAGTATCAGTAGGAAGAGAGTTTTATTTTTGTTAAAAACCCTTTTTTTTAATGGAAGAGAATATATAACCAATTTGAGTAAATTGTGGAAGGTAAAAGAATTGGAGAATATGAGAAAATTGTGGCTGACTATTTCAACGCTACCTTTTTTTTAAAATTTTAATATAAAATCCTATTTTTGAAAAAAAAAAAAACAACTATTGTTATATAGGCGAAAATAATAATAATTGCTATATAGTAGTAATTAAGGTACTTAATTTGTATACTTAAGTTTTTTGTCCATATATATTATGCAGGACTATTATATTTTTTTGGCTGCTACAAACTTCTGAAAAAGAAATGCACATGACAATATGCAAATTTCATATCGAAATGGAGTAATAAATGAAGAATTTATATGACATAAGTTCACACGGTATATATGCTAATTTTTAGATTCAAGATGATGTAAGCCTAGGAGCAAAAATGAGGTTTATTTGGCCGAAGAGAACAATACGTATTATGTGCTTAGGCTATTTGCTTTTTGATTCATGCAGAAAAAATTGTTGGACCACACTACAATGTAAAGAAATTTGATAATTAACCAAAAATTCTGCTAACCAACACCCAAGTTGGAAACTTTAATGTATATTTTATAATAATCGACGTGAGATATTGGTGTAAAACATATGCATAAAAACTAGTGTATTAAAAGCATGAAGACACTCTTGTACTTAATAATACTTTATGAAAAACCATGTCACTAAACTTCTTAAAAGTACTTCTAAGTTTATTTTTCACAAAGTGCTTTTCAAAAATAACTGTCGCTATTCCACAAAAGCATCATTTTCTTCCGTAAGCTTGGGCATCCAAAGGGTAGCCACTAGAAATTTCCTAAGAGGTTCGAAAAAAACAAAACACTTTAAATTGGGCGCTTTTGGCCTTCTTAAAGTTTGATCAAACATATGATATAATAATTGAACAAATTTTACAATCATTTTTAATTTAAAGAATTTTAGACTAATTTGTGAAAATATTCTTAAAATGTACTCGCGTGATAGGATGCTTAATTAAAAAGATTTCAAAGTATGAAATGGAAAAACTTAAAGTTAAACAATCATTAAATATTAAAAGAAAAGTTTGTATTTTAAAAAAGACAAACAAACGGAAAATGTGTATACAAGAATACTTTTTTCAATTTATATCCGCTCTTTCTTCTTTTGAACAAGTAACAAATATTTCACCGTCCAATTTTAAAAATAAATTTTCACTTTCAACATATCGAGAAAAAAAAATTATTTTTTATATGTTCTATCCTCAACATTAATTATGTATTTTCCAAATTATTTCTAACGATCTAAGACTATACGAAGGGAGTATGATTTTGAATAAAAAGAAACATTTGGGCCAGAAGAAAATATATTTGGCCCAATAGATTTCGAACTTATAAGCCCAAACTTTATCTATCGGGTTTGATAAGAACAATGGGCCATTTCATTTGCTAACTCTCAGTTCATATATTTCTCCGGCGAACTCCTCGGCGATTTATATCTCCGGCCAACTACTCGGCGATATCATCTCCGGCCAACTCGAGTTGTAAGTCCGTCATCCTCTCTTTCGCTTTCTTCTCTGTAATTCCTATCCTCTGTATTTAGAGACAAAAACCCTAAACCCCCTTCAATTGCATTGTATGCTTCTTTGAGTTTTCTTTAGCTTTATGGTTTATTTTTCATTCTCATTTGTGTTTTATAGTGATATTAGCTCGTAAATTGTGTGATTTTATTGATATGCCCTTGATTATTGTGAAGTTCCTGTAAAATTTTAGTGGAATGAGGAAAAATATATCAATGTGTCAAAGATGAAATTTTTAGGCATAATAGATAGAAAAATACTCAAACTTGGCGTAAAGCTGGCAACTAAGGACTCCAACTTTGAGAATGCACATCTAGACGCCTCAACTCGTCTTCACTTTGTAAGTCGAACACTCCAACTTACAAAATGATCATCTTGATACCTCCAAAACTTATGTGCCATGTCAGTGTTGAGTGTCCATGAGATAGTGGGGATGGAGTGTTTAGTTGTCAATTGAGAGTAAGTTGAGGTGTCTAGATGTGCACTGTCAAAGTTTGAGTGCTTGCTTGCTAAGGGTGGCTAAGTTTGAGTGTATTTATTATTAGGCTAAATATTTACGATTGCTTGTGAGTTTGTCGGCTTTTTAAAAAAAAAGTTTAGAGGTGGTTAAAATTTCATTCATTTGTTGTCAATTTTATCCATACAGACACTTGAGTTTGAAGTTAGTACATTAGGGGCTGCAATAATTATCTTTTTGTATTAATCATACTTCCTCAGCCATATAAAATTCTGATGGAAAAAGATATTAAAGTTATGGTTAAAGAGTTAGTTTACTAGAGAGCATCACGTCAAATCCAAAATTTGAGTAGTTTAAGGAATTTGAATTCCTGTAAGATGAAAGTTATATATAAAATGAGATGATGTTCAACATTTTGGGATGTTCGAGATTGAAAAGAGTCTGAAATAAATTAGGATGGAAGGACTAACTTTTTGTATTACTTTAGAATTATAATGGCGAAATGCTTATTTGAGTTAATTAACAGATAGGTTTTCCCTACTGTTTTTATACTGTCAAATTTGTATGTCATAAACATTTACACTTGTAGAAACAGGTTGATTTCACATAACGAAGTAAACAAACAAACAAAAGCTCTCTTCGTAAATGAATTGAGGGCTTAATATTCATTTTCCTTTTCTTTTCCAGGGAAGTGAAGTTGGAAAAAAGCACGTGTAGCTTCTTGTGTTCACCTCCACCTTTGTTTGACTTTGGCATAGCATTGTTCAAAGTTCTTCTCTTAAATTGTTTATAACTCATATCCTCTTCTATCTCTTTATATCTTTCTGGCTGTTGTCTGTGAACCGATTCAGTAGGACTCATGTTTGTCATCCAACTGCGGTCCCGTTGTTTATCTACTTGCTTACATTATCTTCATTTCCTACCTGCTTGTCCTTTTTCTTCTTTCAGCTTCTCTTTTTCATCTCTATATAAGGCTGTGACCAGAAACTCTGCTCAAAATGGAAACAAAGAAAATCATGTTCTCTTTAACTACCTAATAAACACATTGGACTTTCCAATATCTAAAGCCCTGGCAGTATCCAATTGTCTTCACTCGGTTATAAGTGTTGAAAAACCTGATTTAGCAGTCCATTTCTTCAAGTCCATTGGATTCACAGATGTACAAATCCAATCCACTGTTCTTTTTATCCCATAAATCCTCATTGCCAATGTCGCAAAGACAATCAAGCCAAAGATTCATCTATTTGAAGAATTGGGTATCACTGGTTCTGATCTGTGTAAGCTTATTTCCTCTCATTTAAACTTGTTAATGCGTAGTCTGGAGAAAGCTATGAAGCCTTCCATTGAAATTCTCAACAAAGTCCTTGTAAATGATACTGAAAATGGTGATTTGTTCAGGGTTCTGCATAGGTCTGATTGGGTTATTCGGAGATCACCTCACTTGTTCTGATTCTTAATATTTCATATTTAGAGGGCATTGGAGTTGTTGGGTCTCAACTACCGTTACTTTTGAAGAATCAACTTCGTCTTCTAGTTGTGCCTGAATCTGAGCTTAAAAAGCATGTTACTAAACTTCTGGATATTCGGTTTCCGACTAATTCAGAATGTTTCTACATGCCCTTTATACTCTAGGTAGTATGACCCATCAGACATTTTTGAGAAAATTGCAATTGTTTCAAAGTTTTGGTTTCTCCAAGAATAAGTGCATGAAATGTTTAGGATGGCCTCAAGTTTATTCCGAACTTCAGAGAACAAAATAAGACTCGGACTAGAGTTCTTGTTGGAAACAGTGAAGTTAGAGAAGTCAACTTTAGTACAACATCCTACTCTTTTGATGTTTAGAATGAAGGAGAGAGTGATTCCGAGATATCAAGTTTTTCAGCTGATAAAGTTGAAAAAGCTTATGAAGAAAGACCCAACTTTTTATGATATGATGTGTTTGACAGAGCATCTCTTCTTGGAGAAGTACGTATCGAGATTTACAGAAAATGGTTAAGAGGGTGATTCCCATCCCTTTGAAATATTTTTTAGTGATGTAGCACGATGAAGTGCAGTGTATGCTTGCTTCTACGGTTTTTTTTACCAACAATTTATTTGCATATTGGAGAAGTATGTATCGAGATTTACAGAAAATGGTTAAGAGAGTGATTCCCGTCCCTTTGAAATATTTTTTAGTGATGTAGCACGAATTATGAAGTGCAGTGTATGCTTGCTTCTAGGGTTTTTTTTTCCAACAATTTATTTGCATTTTAATATGTACTCTATGTGATATTGGCTTGTAAATTGTGATATTCTATTTTTCTGCTTTTGATTATTGCAAAGTTTCTGTAAATTTTTATCGGAATGAGAAAAATAATATGTATGCCGTCAAAGATGATATTTTTAAGAGTGATAGAGGCAGTAACTTTTTGTATAATCTGTGAACTTCAAAGGCAATGTGTTACTCCATTTGAATTAATTTAAAAAATGAGTTTCCGTTACTGTTTTTTATCTATTTTAATTTATAGGTCTCAAACATTTCAACTCGTAGAGATAGGCTGGCTTCATATAACACAATAGCTTACTCCTTTCTATAAATTAATTGAAGTGTTGATATTTATTCACCTTTTCTTTTCAGGGAAGTGAAGTTTAAAGAAAAGCATGGGTAGCTTCTGTGTTCCACCTCTGCGTATCTTCCACTTTGAATAGCTTTATTCAAAGTTCTCTTAAATCCTTAAAATTCATATTTTTCTTGTCTCTATAAGTCTTCTTGTCTCTATAAGTCTTTCTCGTTGTTTCCTGTGAACAGATTGAGAAGGACTCATGATCTCCATCCAACTGCGCTTCCGTTCATTATCTACTCACTTACATCATCTTTCTTCCCTACCTACTGGTCCTTTTTCTTCTTTCCACATATCTCTCTCCTCTCTATCTCAGGTAGTAACCAAAAAGCCTGCTCAAAATGCAAACCAAAAAAATCCTGTTCTCCTCAACTACCTAATAAACACGTTGGGCTTTCCAAAGCCTAAAGCCGTGACCATATCCGATCGTTTATCTTGGGTCAGAAGTGTTGAAAAACCTAAATTGACTGTACATTTCTTCAAGTCCGTCGGATTCACAGATGCACAAATCCAATCCGCTGTTGGTACCGTCCCCCAAATCCTTCTTGCTGATGTTGAAAAAATACTCAAGCCAAAGATCCAGCTATTACAAGAATTGGGCATCACTGGTTCTGATCTGGGTAGGCTTTTGTCCACAAAGGCAATATTATTAACACGTAGCCTGGACAAAATACTAAAGCCTTCCATTGAAGTTCTCAATGAAGTCCTTATAAAAAGTACTGATAATGGTGATTGGTTCCGGGTTCTGCTAAGGTGTGATTGGGTTATTTATGGATCTCCTCACTTGAGACTGGTTCCTAATATTTCATATCTGCAGAGCGTTGGAATTGTTGGGTCTCAACTATCATCACTCTTGAAGAGGCAACCTCATCTTTTTGTTACACATGGATCTAAGCTTAAAAAACTTGTCTCTGAACTTATGGATATCGGGTTTTCTACTGATTCAAGAATGTTGGTGCATGGCCTTCATACATTAAGTTGTATGAGTCAAGAATCTATTTCGAAGAAATTACTGTTGATTCAGAGTTTTGGTTTCTCCAAAAGTGAGTGCATGGTAATGTTTAAGAGGGCACCATGCTTATTCCGTGGTTCAGAGAAGAAAATAAGACTCGGACTAGAGTTCTTCTTGGAAACAGTGAAGTTACAGAAGTCAACTTTAGTACAGCGTCCTACTCTTTTGATGTTTAGTATGAAGGAGAGAGTGATTCCGAGATATCAAGTTTTTCAGCTGATAACGTCGAAAAAGCTTATGAAGAAAGACCCAAAATTTTATGATATGATGTGTTTGACAGAGCATCACTTCTTGGAGAAGTACGTATCGAGATTTACAGAAAATGTAGAGGAATTATTGATGGCTTACAAAGGCCATCGTCTAGAATTAGGAGAAGAGTAAGAGTGTTTACTGGAAAATTTGCTGGCAATTTTTTTTTTCCCGGTTTTGATCTTTTAGGCTTCAGAAATGCGTGGTGAAATATGGGCATTCATATTTCTATTTGTATTGTTGCTTTGATGAAAATGATGCTTGTGTTATGGCATAAGAGGCCAGGAACCAGAAAATAAAGCTATAGTTTTAGCACATTGATCTTAATTTCTCCCTTCTGAGTAGTTTCATTTCCTTTTACATATGTGACAACTTTTAAGTCCTCATACGATAAAGTCGTTTGGTTGTTGGTTAGAATTATACATGTATGATTAATATAAAGAATAGTCATGTAGGGTTTAGTTATGTTGGATTGTAAACTGGTAACTGAATATTGGTGCTGAATTTTATGTAACCACGTATACATGGGTATTAGTTATATTATACTGGTTTTAATACATAATAATTCACTTCCTAACCAGCAACTAAACGTCCATTAAGGCATGAGCTTTTTTCTTCTTCTTTTTTTGATAAAGTGAAATACTTAATTGATGGAGTAAAATTTCATGTCATAGCCACTGAAATACCCAAGGATATGAAGGATCAACCCCTTGAATCTTTAGTTTATTGGCCTCTATTTACACGTAAACATCATATGCTTGTTTGGATAGCCACTGAAAGTGTATCTATGACACAGTGGAGTTTAGCAATTATGTTGTCGTTTCAAGATTTGGGATCAACTTCTCTAGTCTTGTGGTGGATTACTTCCTATTAAGAAAAATGAATTGGTTCCCAACTTGACTCAAGATCAAGATTCCTAACAACTTATATCAATAGTGATAAACAAGCGAGATATGTTTTTATCATTGTATTTTTATATATTTACCTATTTTGAGAATTCTGATTTATTGTAAAATAAGACCATCTACAAACACATCATAAATCTTATGCATCTATTGACTTGATGTAAATACCGAGCAAACATTTAGGATTCTTTAACGAACCTTCTATGAGTAATTTGCCATTATCAATAGAATGTTAAAAGAACCAAAAGCATCAGACGGTCCCGTAGCTCAGTTGGTTAGAGCGTTGGTCTTATGAGCCGAAGGTCGCGGGTTCGAGCCCCGCCGGGACCAGAGATAAATTGTGTCATTGACTTTTTTACTTGTAAAAAATAAATTATTTTTAGTAATACCTACAATTTTTTCTTTCTTAAAGCTCAATCATTCAAATCAAATTACTACATGTGTAGTTAGTTGTCAATGCAAATTATTAAGTAATAATATAAAGAAAGTTGTCTTTTATTCGCGCCTGAAAATAAAACACACCTCGTTCAAGAATATTCAATTACATGGACAACCTATAATTAGGAATAGCCATTAGATGTTTGGCTCTAGGAGTAACAAGACCAAATTCCTCACTCATGTCCAAATCATTTGGTAACATACCATTTGGAAGTTCCCAATCAAAGCAATGAACCAATTGTGCCACGATCAAACGTATCATGATGAGTCCTAGCCGTAAACCAGGACATCTTCTTCTGCCAGATCCAAATGGGAGAAGCTCAAAATCATGTCCACGAAGATCAATACTACTCCCCACAAACCTTTCTGGAATAAACTCATCTGAATTATTAGGCCATACATGTGGATCACGCCCTATAGCATAGGTGTTCACTAATATTCTTGATTTTTTTGGAATAAAATATCCATCAATAGTGCTATCTTCAATAGATTGATGAGGGATTAGAAATGGTGCCACAGGATGAAGCCTTAATGATTCTTTTATGACCATATTTAAGTATTCCAATTTTTCTAAATCTAACTCCTCCACCATTCTTTTCATTCCAATTTTTTCTTCAAATTCTTTTTGAAGTTTTTTCATTATGTTTGGTTGCCTTAAGAGTTCTGAGAGTATCCAATCAATTGCTGTTGCTGAAGTATCCATTGAAGCTATTAGCATGTCCTGTTAACACAAATAGTTTAAATATACCCTTTGTTATGTCAAAATATAATGAAAAGAGTATATTTGAACCAAAAATATAACAAAAAAAATATATTTGAACAAAAAATATAACGAGGGATATATTTATACTATTTCTAATAGTACAGGGGTGTATTTAGACACTTTCCCGCTTAAAATAACATGAAGAAAAAAAAAGAAAAGGGGTGGGGTAGTTGGAATTATTAAGTGGACAAAAAAATTAAGAGGGTTTATGTCATAAGTCAAAAATATCTTTCATAAAGAAGTTTTATTGGTTACCAGAATTTTCAGATCACAAGGGGGAAAATGACTCTTGTGGACGAAAGTCGTCGACAATAAAATATCTAATGTAATCTCATAGAATAAGGTCTGAAGAGGATAAACTATATATAGTCTTTATTTTTATCTAAGTAGAAAAACTGTTTTCGATAGACCTTCTGTTCAAGAGAAAAAGATAGTCCAAAGCAATATATAAAAATAACAAAAAAATAAAACAGAAAATAATCAAACATAAAGGATAAGAAACTACAAGGATATGTAATACTACAACTAATAGTATGGCTAATAGAACAGAGAAATAAAGCGAGATAATATTTAACAATCTAACTAATCTCCTATCTTAATTTGTGACTTTATTAACGTATAATGTGACTTGCCAAATATATTGATCGTAGTATTTCTACGATCGAGATATTCCCTCTCCCCCTCTATCTATCGAAACACAAAAAAAAAAAAATTTAGTCCTTTGACGCCCCTATTTGGTGTAAAATTCATGCAACTTACCAAGTCAACGAAAAATGACACATTTAAAGCCCTATTACAAATGTTTAAAAGGTACGATCTTAACAAATGACGGTGTATATAACTTAAACATGCATAGACGATAGACAAAAACTTACCAATAAAATAGCTTTAACATGACCACGATCAAACTGAAACTCAGTTTCTCCAGATTTCATGATGTTCAACATCGTATCAACAAAATCCTTGTTGTTTTGATGTTGTCCTTTTTTATCAATCTCTTCATGTTCATCAATAATCTTCTCTAAAAAATTATCAAACACCTTGCTAACTGCCTTCATTCTTCTTGTTAATCCTTGAAGATCCAATTTACCTAGAAATGGGAAAAAATCTCCAAGATTAGGAGCTGCTGCTAATTGTAACCCTTCATTAACAACACTCTTAAATCCCTTGCCACCAAATTCCTGATCATCTTTATATTTTTTCCCAAAAATTATCCTACAACTTATATCGACCGATAAACGTGTTACAATCTCACTCAAATCAACCACAATTTTTTCATGAGATTTTTTCTTGAGAGTTTCAATCAAAAGATTCAACTCTTCCCTCCTCATGGATTGAAATGAATTGATTTTTAGAGAGCTAAGTAGCTCTAATGTGCATAATTTTCGCATATTTCGCCAATAAGGACCATATGTACCAAAAGTCAAGTTCTTTTGGTTATATGAAATGTATTTTGCAGCTTCATGAGGTGGTCTACTTGCAAAATTTTGATCATATGTCTTGAGAAATTGCTCAGCTACATGAGGAGAAGAAACAATTATGTTGTCAACAAATCCTAATCTTAAGTACATAATTGGACCATATTTTTTGGCTAAGATGTTCAAATCTTGATGAGGGTTTTTGCCTAACAAATGATGAAGATGTCCCAAAATTGGGATCTCTTTGGGACTTGGTGGAAGGATTTTTCTTTTGTTGTTTCTCCATAGCTCATGAAGGAGATAGAGAAGAGCTACAACTATTGATAATGTGGTCCAAAATAAAGCCATGGTATAAGAGTTAGGCTCCTCAAGGGGATAAAAGGAATTGAATTTATGTATATAATGCGTTGAAAGGTCATAAGAGCTTAGGGGTTGCCTGGTTGAGAGACAAGTTCATGTAGGAATAATAATGATAAAATTGCTAATTTTTTTTTTTTTTTTTAAAAAGCATGGTTAGGATCCTAGTATGTTGTTTATTGTGTTTTGATTATTATTGCATTATTTTTGCTGTTGTTGTTGCTGCTCCCTTATGATAGACTTTGCATTGTTTCCTTATGACTTGCTATATTTTCTTTTTTTATCTAAAATTGTTGCATCTGAGTCAAGGGTGTTTTGGAAACTTCTCTACCTGCACAGATAGTAAAAAGATCTGCGCAGATTCCACCCACCCTGAACCATACTTAAGGGATTTCAATGGATATATTGTTGTTTGAAAAGCATGGCTAGGAGTTATATCAGGGGTGGACCTGGAGTTCTACCAATGAATTTGACAAAACTTTGTAGTTTCGATGAAAATTTTGTAGTACAAAAAAAGGAAAAATTACCTAAATACAAAACTAATTTTACCATATTCTCTAAAATTTTCTACCATTTGAAAAAATTACAAAAATTTCCATCTTCCTCACTCTCTCTCCTATTCCCGGATGCATCATTCTTACACGATGTATCGGGACATGTGTGTCTTGTATCAACAAAGGTAATGTATCGGGACGTGATGTATTGGAACGTTGAGCAATATCGGGACAGGTGTGTCTTGTATCAACAAAGGTAATGTATCGCCACGAGATATATCATAACGTTGAGTGATGTTTTCAAAATCCTTAAAATTTAAGGATTTTTTGTAATTTGAAAAGAATAGGGATAGGATTTAACTAACTCTTAACACTATGAGATTTGTCTTGTATCAACAAAGGCAATGCATGCATTAAATCCCTTGCATTACTAATAGTCTAATACCATGAATTTTCATGTATTAGTAATACACTCCTCAATACACCATAAAGTGTATAATTAATAAAAAAATTAGTTATATCACTACAACAAAAACAACTTTTAGCTGCAATAAATATGCACATTAATAAAGAGTGATAAAATATTTACCGGTATTTGTTAATTGTCATTGGATCCAATGTCACTATAGGTTTTAGGGACATTTACAAAGAGTACTAAATGTCACTAAAAATACATATTTAATTAGCGGCAATTAAGTTATTGCCGTTAATTTATTGCCGCGAAAGATACTTTTTGGTGTAGTGTATATAGGTTGAAAAAGTGTACCAAACAAAGTACTATTTATACACAAAATTACTACATACATTATTTCTTCTAATTAATACACTCTACCAAATGATTCATTTACGGATGATTTTATTTACAAAAATATACAAAACAAGTAAAGTTAATAAAATAGAATACCAAGGGCAAAAAATAAATTGAAAAAAATAGCAATAGCTACCATGCAGGCATGTTGACCATCACTTGTATGATTATCCACATTTATATATTAGTAGTAGAAGTAGATAGTAGATGCGATCAGATGCCCCCTACCTAGTAGTTATTCTTTGAAAAAATCAAAATTAGGGGCCGGAGATGAAAGAGAAAATAGAGGAGAGGATTATAAGTTTGAAGAATTCAACCTTTATTTTAATATTATAATACATAATGTTTGGTGTTTGGTATCCATATTGGAGCCCGACTAAATTCGTATTCGCGCGCTCCTTAATAAAGATGATTCTAAATCCAGGGGCAACTCAAATTTGAAATCTCTTATTAAGGATAAAAGAATACTTATCACTCTACCATAACTTTTGTTTGTAACTATTATTCTAATTATCTATTGAGTTCCTTAAAAATTGTTTAGCTTAACCTTATTGACAAAATGTAGAGTTGCTTTCCTCAAAAGTATACCTTTCGTTTGAAATTTCTTGGCAATTGAAATATTATTTTCTTTCTCAATTACCTACATTAAAAGAAATTCATATGTGTGTTGTGTAAAGGAAAGAAAACTAATTATCTCAACTTTATTAATCTTTTCCTTATACTAAATGTTATGAATAATCTTGAATCTTATTGCTTCCGTTCCAATTAGTAAGATAGGAAAAGAAGAATTTTTAAAATTTGTGATTTGAAATAATCCTTAAAAAAGTTTGTGGCTATGGATCATCTCATAGGAGTAAAATGAAAATTTTAAATTTAATTGTTACTAAATATTAAAAAAATCTTTTTCACTGATTAAAAAAAATATGTCATACAAATTAAGAGAGTATCTCAAAACAACTTTAGTTACTTATCATTTCTCTACCATTTTAATCAATACTAGGTGAGGGCGCTATGCCCATATTATGTACACATCATTAAAGTTTACTATATAGAAGAGGCGATAAGCAACGCGCTATGCTCATATTATGTACACATCATTAAAGCCTGCTATATATAAGAGGCTAGAAGCAACCAACTAGGGGTGTGCATTCGATTTTTCGGTTTGGTTTTACACTATTCGGTTTGGATTTTCGGTTTTTGGTTTTGTAAAAATGTAATCCAATCCGATCCAAAATAAATTTGGTTTGATTTGGTTTTCCTCTATCCGGTTCGGTTTTTTTCGGTTTGGTTATTCGGTTATGTCAATAATTAATAACATATATAACCAAAGTAATAATATTTAATCCCTTAAATATACTTTCTAAAATAAATCATAAGTAAAACTTAAAACACAATACTTATAAGTATACCTATTATAGATGTAATTCAAACATAAAATATAAACGTAATCATCATGAAAGGCAATAACCAAAAAGGGACAAAAGTGGTTAACTCCAACTTAATTCTAAGCCTAAACATTATATATACATATATAAAATTCGGTTTTTTTCGGTTTTTCAGTTTTTATTTTTAAAATCCAAAACCAAACAAAGTAATTTATTAATCCAAAACCAATCCGAAAAACCAAAAAACCAATCCAAATAAAAATTCGGTTTGATTTGGTTTGGTTATTCGGTTTAATCCGAATAGTGCACACCCCTACAACCAACTCATGATTAACGTGTCTACTTTTGATCAGGATATTTTTTATATTTTATATAATTTTTATATTTTAACAAGATTATACCTCAGTATTTTATAAATGTACTTATTTAAACAGATATTAAACCCATCATGTGATGCTTTTCAGCCAAGCTGAAATTATTGACTTTGTGTGGGTCATCATCTCCTTTTTTTTTGGGTCCTTTTTAGGATGTCTATTATGTGCTAATTGTTTTTTGGAAATTTTCTATTTTTATTATTTGTTTTATTTTCTAATTTATTATATATTTAAACTTTCAGTAAAAAATACTATATTATATATAATAATGATAACATTAATAACTTAAAATATTTAAATTTGATTGACTTTCGACATTTCATTTATCCCACATAAATTGAGATAAAGGATTAACATATGTCACGTAAATATTATCTTAAACATATTACAAATCATAGTAATTAATAATTGATTCTCAAAATTTCGTCTGTACTGCATAAATTGGGATAAAAAACATAATATATATTTTTTGAAAATATAGAAAAATTATGTAAATCATAATAAATTATCAATTTAAAATATCTAAAATATATAAACAAATTGATTGACTCTCGAAATTCATATGCACCACATAAATTGAGACAAAATAAATTACATATATTATGTAAATTAACAACTTAAATATTTAAAATATTTATAAAAATAATAATTAACCACAAATTATATCTATATATGTCCCATAAATTCAAACTTGTTGGACCTGTAAAAGAAGATAGCCTTATCTGAGATATCCCTTTGTGAACTTTGAACCACATATAGTATAAGGATTAGATTTTGCCGACACATTTTTTTCTTAAAGACTATCAAATATTGTGTTAATATACTAGTTTTTGCTTTATGAACAAAAACCAAACAATGTTCATAACAATATTTTTTTTAATCCTTAAACCAAACTTGTTTAAGGAATATCTTAAATGGATTAATAATTACCTTTATTAACTAAATTTTAAATTTTCAAATGAAGTTCTATGTCCCAAACATTAACCTACAAAGTCTTCTCTCCACCCCACTCTGTTCCACATAGCATAATTTTTTATTTTTGCCTTGTCTCGACCTGCCCTATTGCTATCCCTACTCATAGTCTCATCAATATGATTGATATTACAACGCAAGGACTCAGCCTCTTTATAAATATTTGCAAGTTAGGAAGCAAAAACACACACAATTAATAATTTCTATATCTCATGGCTTCGATATTCTTACAAGTTCTTGCACTACTTGCAATACTATATATTCTTCAAGAATTACACAACCAATTCATAAAAAAGAAGAAAAAACTCCCTCCTGGTCCAAAAGGGCTTCCAATTATAGGAAATCTCCATATGATTGGGAAAAATATCCACCAAGATCTTCATAAAATAGCCAAAAAATATGGTCCAATAATGAGCATGAAATTTGGTGCTATTCCTATAATTGTTGCTTCATCTCCTCATGCTGCTGAACAATTCTTGAAAAAACATGATCTTATTTTTGCTAGTAGACCAAATAGTAGAGTTATGCAAATCGTCGCGTATAATCAGAGAAATTTGACATTTGGAAAGTATGGACCTTATTGGAGAAATATGCGAAAATTATGCACGTTAGAATTGCTTAGTCCACTCAAGATCAATTCATTTCAAGATATGAGAAAACAACAAGTTACAAATTTTGTGACTTTAATCAATCAGGCAGCTTCTAGTCATGTTGAAGTTGATATTAGTGCTAATCTTGCTTTATTAAGTGCTAATATGTCATGTTTAATGATATTTGGGAAAAAATACATGGATGATGAATTTGATGAAAGGGGTTTTAAAGATGTTATTCAAGAGGCTTTGATTATAGCAGCAACACCAAATATTGGTGAGTTTTTTCCTTTTCTAGATAAGTTTGATTTGCAGGGATTAATTCCTCGTATGAAGAAATTGGCTAAGGTATTTGATGAATTTTTGGAGAGAGTTATTGATGAACATGCTCAAAATTCCAAAGAGGAGAAACAAACTAAGGATATTGTTGATACTATGATGAATATCATGCAATCTGGTGAAGCTGAATTCGAATTTGATCGACGTCATGTCAAAGCTATTTTATTGGTAATTTTACTATGTTATAGTTTATAATCATTTTATTTATCATAATACGAATAGAGTTTAAAGATTTTTACTAGCAGGACACTTTTATTTATTATAGCAGGTACTTACTAGCAGGATATTTTTACTTATTAGATAATTCACTCTCACATCTATTTAGGATTGCTATGCTTAGGTGACTTGATAGTGAAAATATCTAATTTGAGTCTTAGAAGAGAATTGGAAAAATCTAAAAGAAAATATAAAAAAAATAAAAGATATTGAGTCCACTAGTCCTATTTGAGGCTTGGGTTCCAATAGTCTCTCAAGTGTGTTTTTGATTATTAGCTTTAATTATTCTTTATTTAAATAAAAGAGTTTAATTGGTGTAAAAAAAAATTGCACCATTATAATTATTTTTATATGTTAACAGATAATGACCTATTTTATTTAAAAGATTATAAATCTCCTATATTAAGGAGAATTATTGACGGTGTATATTTAACCATGTGAATATTGTTGATAGGGGAGGAACCAGGTAAGGTCGAGAGTGTTCATTTGAACCTCCTTCAGCAGAAAATAATTACATTGCTTATACATGATTAAAATTATATTGTATGTATATATAGTAAATGGTAAACATTCTCCCAATTTTTTCATATGTTTACTTATTCATATTTTGAACCCCTTTAATAAAATTTTTGACTCCACCACTATGCAGGACTTGTTAATAGCTTCTATAGACACCTCAGCAACATCAATTGATTGGATTTTCTCTGAACTTCTAAGGCACCCAAATATAATGAAGAAATTACAAAAGGAGTTGGAACAAGTAGTTGGAATGAATAGAATGGTGGAAGAATCAGACTTGGAAAAATTAGAGTACTTAGACATGATAATCAAAGAAGGCTTTAGGCTTCACCCTATTGCACCACTACTCATCCCTCGTGAATCAATGGAAGATTGCATAATTGATGGCTTTAATATACCTAGAGGTTCAAGAATTCTAGTAAATACTTGGGCAATCGGAAGAGATTCAGAAGTTTGGCCTGAACCTGAGAAGTTCATGCCAGAAAGATTTGTTGGTAGTGATATTGATCTTCGTGGACATGATTTTCAACTTTTACCATTTAGCTCTGGGAGAAGAAGATGTCCTGGATTACAATTAGGGCTCACAGTTGTTCGCCTAGTAATAGCACAATTGGTTCATTGTTTTGACTGGAAGCTACCAAATGATATGATGCCAAATGATTTAGACATGACTGAGAAATTTAGTTTAGTTGTATCTAGAGCTCAACATTTAATGGCGATTCCTACTTATCGTTTGCATGTATAGTTGATATGAGCCTTGGTAGAGCGAGGTGGGTTAGAGTTTTTGCAGGTGCGTAGCGAATTTAAATATTTATAGCATGTTATCATTCATTTGTATAGGTTTAAATTCAAAATCTTTGATTATTTTATTTCTCTCTTGTCTATTCTGTCGAATCATGCTCATAATGAGCCATTAAATTGTGTGTGTTTGTTGTTTCTCATCTCAATCTTGTTGATGTCTTCAAATGCATGTTTCTCCGTAGCATGTTTCTTGTTTAAAATATTGAATTTCATAGTATGTCTCTAGTTTATAGCTTATCCTATTACAGTTTGAGGCTGATGTTTAATATCTTGTAGCTAGTCTTAGGTCCTTATCTGAATCTATTCTTGATTATCTGTTAAACTTCAAAAGTGTCTTCATTTCAGCTACATGGTGTTCTTAGTCTTGGATCACTTTTTCCCTACTAATTGTTATAGGTTCCCTTCCCCATTTTAATTTAATTAAAAGGCAATAAGTTAATATCGTGGAGTTTAATTTCAATTTCATTTTGTGAGCCTGATGTAATCCCTAAAATGATTTGGATTTGTTGAAGTTTTGTTGCCAGTAGTTAAGTCTTGGGATCACCCCTGCCTCTTTGAATTATATCAATTGGCCTTTACTTTTCCACTTTAAGACTAAAGCTTAAATGATCTTAATTTTATCTTGTGTTTTGCCTCCTTACTGTTTCATTTGTTTTAATGATTAAATTGTGTGTTAGTCATTTAAGTCATAATCCACGTGCTAGCGTATTAAATCGCTTTGGTAAGTTGATTCCGAGATAAATTGGATACTAATGTTCCCTGTTCCTTCCGTTGCATGTGGAAATCCGCTTGAGTTCACCATGAACTCCTATTTTCCCTCCTCGCATTTCAAGAAAGTCATAAAGGCTTAAATCACTTCTTTTCGAGTCAGCCGACAAGTGGAATCGAAGAATAAGTCCATGAATTTGGCGTACAGGTGTTCGAAGCAGATTTACGGGATGGTATACGCTAGTATACATCTAGTGTATACGAAAGTGGGAAACTGGGCCTAAAACCCCCAAATTTCAAAAATTGTATTTTGTTATTTTTGGGCCTAAGCCCTTGTTATTTTACTTATTATTGTCTTGTTAGAATTTAGGACATGTGGCAAGAATTGGGCCTTTTGGCCCAAAATGAAATTAGGCCCAAGTGCTAGTCCAGGAAAACAGAAAACCAAACTTGGGCCCAACGCCTTCTCTCTCTTCATTTTATTCGTATCGTATTTATTTAATTATTTATTTTCTAGTTAATTCTAAGGTTTCCTCCTTAATTCAATTCCCCCCAAAAAATAAGTTAACCATAACTGTTAAAATCAAATAAGTTTATTTTCATTTTATTTTGACTTTAAAACATTTAGTATTTTCTACTTAAACAACATCCTTATAGATGTTTATTTTTTCTATTTATTCAAGTAAGCTTGTTTTTTAAATATTAGCCAAATAGTTAATAATCGGATAACCGCATGTTAGCGGGCATTTCGGGTGCTTTCAAACCCTTCCCGAAATGCTAATATGAACCCCGAACCCCTTTGAATATTTTCATGAGATTTCTGTTTTAATCTTTTGAAAAAGTAGCTTTCTTGATTTTTCTTAAAAATTAAGTGGTGACTCTTAAAATCAGTATAATAATTTTTTTAAAATAAAACACTTAACTTTGTATTTATTTTTCCACCTATATTATTATTGAATATGCCCCTCATTTGGTGTTTTTGGTCATATTATTAAAGACTTATTTGTAATTGTTACATTTTGTTACTCATTACATACATGTTTTCATAGAATTTTAATCATTCTAACATTTCTATAAAAACAATACATGGAACACACGTGCAAAGCACGGGTTCAGAAACTAGAACGATGATAAGGGATAATATGATCTGTTAACGATAGATATATCAAATCTAAATTGCAAAGTTGAGGGGAATATTTGCCACTTTTCCCTTTACATATTCACGAATCATTATTTTTTTCAAAAGTTGCAGCAGACAGAAAATAATTATCGTTACTCATTCTACTTGCAACGAAACAGTCAAGGCATCAAATTACAGCTAAATTCAAACAAATCGACATATGTTCCGTGAAGATTCACAAACATGATTTTGTAATTGCTAATGAAAAACAAAACTCTTCTTTTTCTACAACAATAATAAGCAGCGAGAGCCGCAATTTCCTTCATTTCAATTTGTTTGTTATACTTTTCTTTTAAGTCTGTTTAGAAAAGTATGTTTTTTTTCAAATGACATATTTAATATAATACACAAGATTAAAGTTTATTTTGATACATTGTACACTTTATTTAAGATAACAGGATTCAAAATTCGTCTTTACTTTCTTAAATTTCGTATCAAATCCAGATAACCAAATTGAAACAAAAAGAGTACATAAAATTGATGAACCAACAACTTAACAACAATAAAATATCCAGTATAGTCGTACAAGTAGAATCTAGGAGGAGGGGGTGTACACAGACCTTATCGTTATGTACCCTTAACATATATACATAGAATTAAAATTCTAACCTAGATAAACTAATTAACTTTCCGTCCCTTAACATAAGATTTCTCCACCACTACATCCAACTTCATTTGTTCTCTAAATACGTCTACATCGTCATGCTACATGCCACTTAAGTCCATTTTCTCGATAGACGATGTTTCAGCAAGGTCATTGTAGACATTGAAATTTGTTGCAAACAGTCATATAGCAAAGCATGGTATTATTTCTTGATAAATTTAGAGATGGAGTCTTCACTGAAGGCAATGAATAGTACCTGAGATGGTGATTATTCTTGATAAACAACTTTTCCATAATTACTGAACACACATAAATGACACATATTTTACCACTCAATTTTAAAGATTATACCTGAAGATGACTAGCAACTTATACTAGTGAGACCAGATATATTCAATACTTCAAGTATGTATCTCTTTCGAATAACATCGTGCATTTATTTCATAAGATTGTGACTTTAATTTAATCATTACTATAATAATATTTCTAGATCAAGCCGAAATATATGTAAAATGATAATTTTAACAATAAGATAAAAATTTGTCATATTTACATGAGAATAACCATGTTGTAAAGAGAAAAAAATTGTCATATTTATACCTTTTTATACACTTTATAACAAAGCCCAAAAAAAAGGAAATAAAAACATCTAAGAGCTCAATTAATATCATTGAGATTTTTTATATTATCAAATCAATCAAAATATATTTATAGGTTACTATATTTTATATCTATAACGGAAAATGTGTGTGTTGTAACAATTTTAAATTGAGAGAAAGGAAATTGATGCTTTTAGTCCATAAAATATTGATAAGTTTTTGTTTTGATCCTCAGAGTATATTATTAAATATATTTAACTTTCAATTAATTAGAATGTATAACATATATTTTATCTTTCAACTTGTGAAACCTTACGAATTTAACAAAAAATATTAATTTGTAAATTACTTATGTATAACTTACATAAATCTCATAGTGTAAGGAGTAAATTACATAATGTTGTGTACATGATTCATTATTTTGTGTATCTAATGCATAATTTAATATATGTATTAATGTGCTCCATATTTATTGTATAGGATACATAGCTGCAATATCTTCTTATTTTACCTCAAACTAAACAAACTCTTGATAATAACATTTATGTATCACCATATTTGAATCTGATATTTACTTGTGTGACACTTTAATGTATCATGTAAGTTAATAAGTATCACATGCATTGTTATGTGTCAAGATCGCTATTAAGTAGTCATGGCATGTTGTTAATAATCATTTTCTTAGTTATCTATCTATTATAGAAAAAGATAATACTGACAGATTCATATATGAAATTTTTTTAGGAAAAATTACTTAAATACACAACTTAATTTATCATATTTTCCAAAATTTCCTACCATTTAAATTTTTTTATAAAAATTCATATTTTCCTCACTCTCTCCTAATCTCTAATACATTCCTCAACCTCTACACCCACATCACATAATTTCCCCAAAATACGCCAACTTCCTCGAAATCACGCTTAACTTCATCAATTTCAAATTCTAAATAAGATAGAAAATTTTGTATTCAAACTTAGTAGTCACAAACACGTCTTTATCAATGGGAATGGACAAAGATTCAGTAACGGTTTTGCCCTCATGAATAATCAGGAATTCAAATCAATATTTAATATCGGTACAGATACAATTTATTTCACATTTGAAGCCAAAAATAACTCGAGTTTGATAATTTAATCGATCCAGAGGGAAAAACACAGTTTTTGAGATGGACTAATTTTATTGATTGTTGGAAGGAACTGAAGACACTAAATAAGGACATATGTGATCAGTATAGCACTTTTGGACCTTATGGAGTTTGTAATGATGGAGACCTTCCCTATAGGTGTTCTAATGGTTTCACAGCTGTATCACCAGAAGATTGGAACAAGATTGTTGATTTATTTTTTTTGATTTTTTGTTGTTCATCTTTTCTGATACATATGGGTTCAGATTTTTAATGTATCTAGTTAATTTAAGAACTATACATTAATTTAAGAACAAAATTAACTAGATACATTAAAATTTTGAACTCATATGTATCAGAAAAGATGAACAACAAAAAATAAAATAAAAGTCAACAGACTTGTTCCAACCATCTAGTGATGCATCTATGAAACCATCAGGACACCTACAAGGAAGATCTCCATCATAACAAACTACATAAGGTCTACAAGTGCTATACTGGTCATATATGTCCTTATTCAGTGTCTTCCGTTCCTCCCAGCAATTGGTAGAATCAGTCAATCTCAAGAATTGTATTTTTCCCTCTAGGTCAATAAAATTATCAACTCGAGTTGTTTTTGGCTTCAAATGTGAAATAAATTATGTCTGTACCGGCATTAAATATTGATTTGAATTCCTGATTGTTCATGAGGGCAAAACCGTCACTGAATCTTTGTCCATTCCCACTGATAAAGACGTGTTTGTGAAGAATACTAATAAGTTTGAATACAATTTTTTTTACTTTATTTAGAATTTAAA